CATGTCCACATGTGGACGATATCTCGAGTACAAGGAAATAGGGTTATGAAACAGGGGGGGTGCGAAATGAGACCTTCTCATGTCCATAAGCAAATATGGAATAGATATTGGGCGAAGGAGTCTTACATATTATACGTCAAGTTCCAGCTTGCAATTTACTTACTTCGTGGGTACATAGGGTCTGTTGGGTCAGTTCCTGTTAATTTCAGCTCTGAATGAAGAATGGTTGAACAAGGCAGTGAGGGAGGAGGTTCTGCTCATGATAATTGCTGCTTATCTGGATGTAAAAAAGGAGAGGTGACGAAGGGCCATTTCCCTATGTATTTCTCAGTTGAACTAGACCTGATCTAGCGTTTCAACGCATCAACGATCACAATTCGACCATTCCTTGCTCCCCCGCAGCAAGATCATGACTAAAAGTCATGGCCAGGCTTGAGCGAAAGTGCTGAATTTGTCATGATCAATTACACCAGGTTATTTTCTTACACAGCACTAGTAAAAATCATGCACAAATGGATATGCATGAGCAGACACATTATATGAAGAAAAGTTCTATCAACTCGGTTCAACACTCAAGCTACTGTACCGTATCGCACCGTGAAGCAGATCCGTTACCTCAACCCTCTGCTGACCAGTGAGTGAATCCATCCACCAACGCCAAGCTACTTGAAACCGTCAAATCAATAAATCAAATCAAATCGGAGACAACATAATCACGCCAGGAGTATACTCATATGCACCAAGAAGGACTCTCTTGATACTCTGCTCTCTCCTGGTTGTGGGAAAATGTCGTTCCATAATCCCGCTGTCAACAAACAAAACAAACTAACATGCAAAAACACAACCGTGCTGAATAGCAAATGTTCACCCAGGGAACATTCGCTAGACGGGGCGAGCCAGGGGTATACTTTATGAACAGGGCAAGTCCGAAGTAGGGGAGATTGCCAACGCTGTTTCGTGCTTCTAGCTCGATGCATTGGCAGTTGTGTTCTCCTCCTTGGGCTGAGGAGGCTCGAGGCCTGCATTTTGTGCCACTCGCTTCCAAGTCTCGAGCTCGCGGTACAGACGCTCACATTCCTGCTTGAGTTTGTCGTTGGAAGCGCTCAGCTCTGTTATGGCTTGCTCTGTAAGAAGCTTCTCGAGGGTCCACTTCTCAATGTTTTGTTGCTCGTTTTCCTTGAGCTGGGAAATGAAGCTGACTGCCCGTTGTAGAATCGAACCTTTGTTCTTCTCACAACCAGGGACGATCTTAGCGAGCTCGTTGATACCTTCGTTGATGGTTTCCCGACGGCGACGCTCCACTGTTTTTGATTAGTATATTTGAAGACGATTCGACAGATGTGATATCCATACCTTCTTTGTGATTGTCCTTTCGCATCTTGTGCCACTCTTCTGATCCGACTGTTGGTTTGGGGTTGGGGGCTGCGGGATTGTATCGTGGTGGCTGATGCGGAACACCATTAGGTGGTGTATGTTGATGCTGAGGAGGGGCGACTTGAGGGGGCTCCATGATACTGTCAACTGTGGATGTCACATCGGGGTTGAAAGTTGGATCATGGCCATGCTCAGGATCAGTGGCTGCCTGGGCTGCAAATTGCTCTTCTGTCGAGGGTGGAACATGTAGGGTGGGGTACATGCCGAGGGCAGCCTGTGCGGTGCTGGTAGCACTGGTAGGATCTGGAGCTTCGGGGTGATCGTGGTCTGCTTGGGCGGCCTGCTGCAGAGCGTTGAAGTCGGCGACGTTGACGCCGTTGGCGTTGACGGCCTGGCTTTCCATGGCACTGTCGATGAAGGAGGCGGGGTCCGCAGACATGTGGGCAGCTGGGGCAGGGCGTTTATTCCTGGCGAGATCAGGACTGCCGGATTCGCGCTTCCGCTTCTGACCAGGCGAGCCGGTCAGGCTGGAGAGGTCAGGCTGTTCGGCAAGAACTTCAGCCATGGTTCAGTCGTGAGAGAATTATCGAAAGAAAGAAAGACAGAAAAGTGGTTATTTTGGTAGACGGGTCTGTTCGATCAAAAGCGCTCGCCAAGATTAAAGAGGCTGAGTGCAAAGTTTGATGATGTCGAGGCCACAGATGAGAGACGTTGACAATCAATCAAAGATCTGGATAGGGAGGGGCAGTTAGAATAAACTCGCTGCAGAATTAAACTATGGGTAGATGAAGTGCGGGAGAGAGGGTAGAGCGAGGGGATCCGGCCTCGAGCGACGGAGAAGAGGTTGAGCGAGCATCTAGATGTTGGTTGAGTGCCAGCATCAACTGTAACACGTGCACATGATGCGCTAGTCTTGTCGTCGAAGAGGGTTTGAATCTTTGCATGGAGCATGGACAGAAAAGAAAGCATCGTAGGGTGTGCCTCGCTTGAGGAGTGAATGTGAGAGTCGCGATGACTGCTGCTCAGAGCGTGAGAGAAAGTCACACGGTGAGTCTGTGCTGATTCAGTCACTCTTTATGAGGGATGAGAACAGCGAGCAAAGGAAGATAGATGCTGGAACAGGCAGGCACAAGAGTATATTTATGCGATGCTCATGACGACATACAGTTGTGACTGTGAACTATTGGGTGGTTGATTGTGTTGATGATTCAAAGCAAGCGAGCAGTGAAGATGCTGCCACTTGGCAAGATGCATGCATTCATTTCATTTCGTTGTGTTGTGCTCCATGAGCGCAAATACTTTGCGTCGGGTCATTTCTGAGTGCAGAGACTCGAGTTGCATTGTTGCGTCGTCGTGCAGATCATTAAATCAAATGTATCGTGAAGTGAATGAGATGCATGAAAGCGACATACCTCCCAGATCATGTGCTTCGAGGCGTGATCGTGCGAGATCACGAGTTTCTCGTCTCACGTGTTTGCCTTGGTGGGATCTACCTCGTGATATCGCGCGAGTCCCAGTTGATAAGTCGACAACTTCGCGTCTGTAAATGAACGGAACCAGGACCAATACTCAACAAAGGAATTTTAATTTGAAAAAAAGGAGGAGGAAGAATAAATCTTGGGTCTTTGATACGCGTTCGGGTCCAGATAAAGACGCGAGGATCTTTATGTTACTAAAGGGGAAGAACGAATCCTGTCCCCGACGAAAATGGGCGCTTCTTTGGCTGGACACGCAGCTGGGAACTGGCACTGGGAGTGAGCGAGTCGGGTCACGCGGCGGAGGAAGAGGGTGAACACGTGCAAGTGGGTGAGGCTGGTAAGATAAATAAGTTGACGCGAGTGAGAGGGGGGGAAGATGATTGCCTGAGGCCGAAATAAGTGGCCGAGATGGGAGAGGGCGGCCAATAGGAGGGTCAGGTGGGCCACATAAGCTCTGAGATGGGGGGGGAAACAGGAAACAGGCAGACAAGGAACCTGGAAAGGGCGAGGGCGTTGTGAATCAATGTGGAAAGTGCTAAGGTACCTTAGGTAGGGAGCTACCTTAGTTGCATCTATTGCACCTGAGTAACTGTATGATGTGAGATGAGTTCATACCTACTAGTACCTTAGTACTGTCTATTCTCGGTTCCTTGCCTACCACCTACCTAACCTATCTGTCATACCTCTTACCTTGTATAAGGTGATATAGGCAGTACCTTGTTAGAAAGATTAAGCCGAGAATATCTACCTACACACTAACACTAACAATCTGCAATAATGAGCCTGATCCTCTCTTGTCTTAACTTGATTGTCCCTCTCATTGTCAGCTTGCAATAGCTCTCCAAATGCGGAGAATCATTACACAGCACAGGCCAATTAGGGAACCCTCAGGGATAACAAACAATACTACACAATTACACCACACCACTTGAACATGAGGAGCCGGCATGTAATCACCTGATCCCATCCCAGGTACATCACTTGACGCCGAGAGGTGAAACAGGTTGCGTCCTAAGATATCTGCGACAGATGATCCAATCTGGACTCGTCTGACACAGGAGCTGGTTGTAGGGGCTAGGGGCCCAGGGCCTCAGCAGATTCAGCTCAATGTGCAATATGCTGTGAATCAAAACCCAAACTGTATAAACACATTTATTAGTATTAGGAGTCACCTCACAACAACACTGACTGGTATTGACTTTTTGATTCCAATAATACACTCATTTGCCTTCAAGCAAGGATAGTCCAGGTGCCACAGAGGAGGCGTTCGAGTATTGGAGTCAAGTCTGCAGTGCATATCCAATACGATCCCCAGACCTCTCAACTGTGAGATATCAGGTTCGATACCGTGTTTCTCCACCATGATCTATTTCCTTCATGCAGCCAGCCGACCTTGTGTTGAACAGACCACTGATGGTTCGCGGCATAAAAGGCATCTTGTCATACCAGATGCAGGCTGATGGTGAACACACAAGGCGGAAGTTGATACGCTAACCTTGTATGGAGCATTTCCTCCGATTATTGCTGTTTCTTTATTCAGCAACCGATAACATTCGTAAGAGGATCTAAATATACTTGGGTGCCTTAGATACGCCCATATTGCGTAGAGATATGACTAAATTCTCTTTTGATTGTCCTACTCTCTCTCTCTCTCTTCTTCCTTCGCTTACAGCAGGAATTCACTCCCAAGACGGGGCCCCACATGCCCATGTTCCGAAGGCGGGACGGGGAGTGGAGGACTGCATGATGTACCATTGCACCTGCACGGGCAGTCCTGGGGGAGCAAGAAAACATTAAACCGTGATATGAGGTGTCAAAATAAATACAGAAAAAGGTATCATAGACTTATACTAAATTCGTACTGTACTACTTGAATCTTTTTGTCTCCTGGGATCAAGGTCCTGAGTTTTCTCTCCTCCTCTACCTACCTAGACAGCTAAGGTAGGAGGTACGTACCTAGCTTCCGTGGTGGGAGCACCCACCTCATGACACAACCCACCTCACTTTGACTTCACCTCACGATAACGACTTATCAATCACAACCTGAATCCCCGGAGCTCAACTAGCCTTCGGCCTTCCACGGGCCCTACATGCGATTGTTTCCTACCTGAGCAATCGGTCTGTCCCTTCCACAAGCAAACATTCATAATGGGCGATCACGAAAGTACCCAGATCAAACATAGCGAGCATCTGTTGCTTGTAAGTCCGACTTAACCAAGGTCCCCATCACCGCCTCTCCATGATAATTGATGCCTAGTCGACATCAGGACCAACCTTTGCTTCGCCTCCCTTCCGAACTCCTTCGAAAGAACTTCCGCACGGCCCATTTCACAATCGAGAAAGACACAACCGCCCTAAAGACATTGCTCAAAGATTCAGCCACCGCTGCCGTCTCCGGCCGCTCGTCACAGCAAGATGTCCTTCGTAACATCGACGCAATGGTGTCCCGCATGCGAGGTTTGAAGCGCAAACTCAATGCGAGCGCCGCCGAGGAGGCTCGTCTGCATGCACAAACAGCTGCCCGCATCTCACATCTCGACGAACTATACAAGATGGACACAGTGGAGGACGTTAAATACGAAACTTGGAGTAGGAAGAGGCTCGATCGCCTTTTGGCAGACTACCTACTTCGCCATGGTTACAATGATACTGCAAAGGAGCTGGCCGAGCAGCGTGGTATTACCGATCTCGTTGATATCGACACCTTCGTTGCTGCAAGTCATATCAGAGATTCGCTTCTGAAGCAGAGCGTGGTTGAAGCTCTGGCTTGGTGCAACGATAATAAGAAAGAGTTACGGAAGATGGAGGTACGTTGCCTATTCTAAATATCTCCTCGATATCCACATTCTAATTCTTCGCAGAGTAAGCTCGAGTTCATGCTTCGATTCCAGCAATATATCGAGCTGGTCCGCTCGCAATCCTCGGCCAAACTAACTGAAGCCATTGCTCACGCAAAGAAACATCTCATTCCTTATCGGGCCACATTCCCCCGAGAAGTTCAGCAGGTCTGTGGTCTGCTTGCCTTTCCTCCTGGTGGTGCATCCGCCGCCGCACCCTATGGAGATTTGTATAAGCCCTCCCGCTGGACTGACCTTGCCGACCTCTTCACAACAACCCACAATCAACTCCTTGCCCTTCCTGCAGTCCCACTCCTTCACGTCGCACTTTCTTCTGGTCTATCAGCTCTCAAAACACCTGCATGCCACACGGATCCAATGCACTCATCAGATAGCCCATCTGCCCAAAGCACATCCGATATCGCAGCAGCAGCAGCTTCGACTCTCGGCCATGGCGTTTGTCCCATTTGCTCCACTGAACTCAATGAGCTTGCCCGGAACGTGCCATATGCTCACCATACTCAGAGTCATGTAGAGCACGATCTCAGGCTACTGCCTAATGGTAGCGTCTATGGAAGGGACCGCCTCGAAATACAGGCGAGGAAGAATAATTTGCCTTCTGATCAGGTTAAGGACCTCCGAACAGGCGATATCTTCCCAGTTGAGTCACTGAAGAAGGTTTATATCACTTAAAGATTCATCGCTGGGGACCCACGACGCGTCAAAGAAATTTCCGGTTCGAAAATGGCGTTTACTACATGGACAGGTAGGTGTTCAGCTTTTATCATATTGTACAATACAAAGTGGCTGCGAGCCAGCGGCTTAGACATAACACTACCATTCATTTTTATGGGCATCATACCATAGTACAACTTAGATTGGACAAATAAACAACTTTGCGAAGCTCAAATTCAAAGGTGCCAACTCCTAGTTAACCATACAATACAGTATACAACAGCGGCGCCGACACCAACTGGCACGTATGATCCCCTCCCAACCGTCCATCCCGGTCCTTTTTCCCCCGTTGAATTCCTGAAACTTCCGAAAGTCATTATATCAAAATCGTAAACCTAGGCAGAATTCATTGAAGCGGGATGCAAAGAGCATGATAGCAAAGAGTTATGCTATCTCACTGCACAGACCCATTTCATGTAGAGAAGCCGATAACTATGCTTTTGGCATAATGAACGTTCATAACGAAAGAGGAATAGGTTGATGGTAAAGAACAAAATGCAAGGCATAGAAAACATTAATACTACGGGCATAGTCCATGGCCCTCCCAGTGGGCTCAAAGCCTTTGAGTTAGTTAGGCCTCTTATCGGTTCCCGCCGAAAGCGAAGTTGCCAAACACACCACCTCCTCCACCAGGAGTCATAGGCCCAGTGTTGATGATGCCGTTCTGCCCTTGTGGTCCTGGGGTGGTGGCTAACGCAGCATTTGTCGTGTTAGGGGTGCTAGGTCCGTTGCCATTTGTTTGTCCATCGTTGCCGCTTTGCTGGTTCATCATTGACATGACGAGGCTAGAATTCGAGTCAGGGAAACCCAAGCCCCAGACCTTGCCAACATGCTCATCAGGGATATCACCGGCAAAGATCTTATCGCGCATAGAGAAAAAGACCTTTCCGGTGAGTAACGAATCAGAGCCTGCTTGGTGGGCAGACCCAACACGCTTAATCTTGAGGGTTTCGGCAATGTTCTCAAGTCCTGATTTATGTTCAAACTTTTGCAGGATCTCAGTACTACTGGGATCGCTGGGTGTAAGAAGGCCGGAGTTGTGTAACCTGATGGCGTGCTTCATGAGGTGCTTCACATCGTACGTCGTGGGGAAGTAGAGCTTCATCTTGTGGTCAAAATCGACTTCGTCGTTGGGCAATGGTAAGCAGATAAGCAGCTTGGTCAGGTAGCCGAAATCGTAACCGCCATGGAACGATATCCACTTGACGTTGTCGAAGCAGACAAGACCCGAAGGGATCAGAAGGGAGGCGAACTCGTGAGGATCAATACCGTCACGTTCGAGAGCATTAAAGTCGATCCCGGCTTGCTGAAGTGACTCGATCGATTTCTCATTATACATGTCGTCCTTCAACGAGAACTTAAAGTTGAACTGCCACGAACAAGGGAAAGGAGCATTAGTCGCCGCCCTTTGAGCGGCTGTGCCAAGCTTCAGATCGTTCGTAGGCCGCGGAGGGGGGGTCTCGCCGTCTTCGTTAAAGAAGGTGAGCCCTATTTGTATGACCCTCAGCATATCGACGTTGGTTCGTAGGCATTGATAGTGATAATCGCTCTTCCCTCTGAATCCTCCCATGGGCCTTGAAACAACACCTGGAAATTCGGTATCCTTTTCACACCCATTAATTAGCATATTTTCAAAAAACGATGCTCGTTCCTCAAGCCTTACCATCGCAATGTAAGGATACTTGTCCACCAAATCTCGCAGGACTGCCATTTCTTCGTGCAAATTGTGCTTCCATACTTCCCGTATCCTACCCTTGTTGGGATGTGTCCTGATTCCTGGGTGTTCCATCAACATGTTCTGGTGAACCTGCCCGTGTTGTGGTTGTTGTAGGGCGCCTGCAGGGCCATGGAAACCCATTCTTGCACTTTGACTACCGAACCCCGTATCGGCGAATCCCTGGCCATTGAGGCCGGCTGTCGTAAAAGCATTGCTGTTGGCAGCAGAGAAGGGTCCTAGTTGTGTGTTGGCGTTCAGGTACTGGTTTCCGCCTAAATGTCCACCCTGTTGTTGGGCATGGGAGGGGAAGCCACCCTGGTGGTATGGTGCTGCCACAGCAGGCCCCCCGCCAAAACCCCTAAGTTGCGGTGGCGGCATGTGGTTCTGTCCAGGGAAGTATCTGTTTCTGTTGAAAGGCTTTCTGGGACCAGTGCCTCGGGAGCGTTGGAGGGGTTGCCAATGTCTGGCTACTGAACGAAAATGCGAGGAGTGCGGGTGTTGACCGGCGGTAGTCCTCTGTGCTTGGTTTGATTGCGTGCCAGAACCTGAAGGTTTTGAGTTCGAGATAGAACTCTCAGTCGCTGGATCGACCGAGGATGGCTTCTAACGCCCGAATGGTTTCTAACGCGACGATTTGAAGTGATACGTGTTACCTCGACTACCACGGCCGTTGTTCATTGAGACCACCTGAGAGTATTGTCAAGATTACAAAGTATTTCCCTGATCTTTTCTAGTGGCTGCGATAGTGATAGATGTCGTCCAATGCTGTCGGTGGTATATGTATATGATTTCGGTTCGAATGGTGGAGAGGGAGGAGTGACGATAGAGTTAAAGATATGCGCCGACTGGGTTCCTCGTCGAAGATGGTAAAAAGCTTCGCTAGTTACACGGGGTCGGCCTCTTCCTTGCTGCGATTCTATAAAAAGCGTCGAATGTCCCTTGGAAGGATTAAGTCTGAATAGGTCAATTGATGGCATAGAATAAGGTACGTACGTCCTCTAAACTCTGGAGGGCAGAGGTGAGGAGGGCGGCGGGTGAATCAATTGGTCCGTGCGTCATATCGGAGGAACCAGTCAACTTTGATCCGTTCCAGCCCAGCCCAGTTTAACCTAACCTATACCTAATGACGGGGCGAAGACAGCCAACATCAATCAATCACTAAGGTCGAATTGGCTCGCTCTTCATTCGCCCATTTCGTTTGTCGTCAGATCCAACCACCACCAGAATCTCTCTTTCAGCCCACAATGCTTGCCACGAGGTACGGCGCGCACTCACACAGCTGCTATTATCCCAATTGGCGCAACCAATTGTAGTGAATGAACTCGGGTTGCTAATATACTCGCCATGTAGAGTGCTACGAGCCGCCGCGGGCGGTCCCAAGCCCAACATCACCGGCTTCAACATGCGGGCGTTCCAAGCATCAACCGGCCAGCCTCGATACGATCCCTGGGAGCGAAAGTCCGTAGTCCCTTGCTGACACGTCTGAACCCAATAAAGCCAACGTACTAACCCTCCTTCACAGCGAGGCCTGGCGATATCAGGGTCCCTATAGCCGCTGGAACCGTCTCAAGGGCGGTTTCCCCGGTCTCGGCATCGCGACAGTCGCTTTCACCGCCTACTGCGGATACGAATACTTCTTCCTCGAGGATGAGCACCACCATGGCGAGGCACATGGAGAAGAGCACCACTAGAATGAATGGAAACGACGATTGGGGGAGCGGATTTAGCTGGAATGCAACTATCCGGGGGTGAGAAGTTTTGTACATATACCTCCCACGGCGAGGACGGTGTTTGATCAGATTATGGAACCATCAATCAAAAGAATATCAAAACAAGATGCAGGCGGACCGGTCTTTCTGACATTATCATGAACTTGCCGTGGATTTGGAATGGAAAGTGGAAAACCAATGCATCGGAGACGACAAGAACTTTTGCACTGGATAAGCAACACTCCTTCTTGGTGTCGCTTGATTGCTAGGGCTCTCATTTCTTTTGCAGACTGCGATGGCTATCAGTGTGGAAGGTAGAAGACTACTGATACATATACTCACCCTTCCCAATCATAGGGTCGATCACTCAATTACTTGTGAAGCCTAGGTGTGCTTTGTTCTCAATGAACAAAGCAGAATGAGCTTGAACGCCTATCAACACCTCGAGTCTTGGCCAGTCTGTGAATATGTATGCAACGAGCCGGCTTTCAAGACAAGGAGACCCGGTTCAAGGACAGCGCTCAGGAAATAATTAATCAAGATCAAATTGATTCAATTTGGTGGTCCAACCCAAGGTAAAAAGGTATCTCACAAGACTATCCTGTCTCTATGCTAACGAAGGTAAAATTGGTCCTCAGACCCTATGCAGAATGGTATCAAATGCCCAGAAACGCCGCCATATATCCATTTCGGCTATAGCCCACAACTCCAATAAGAGAATAAAGAACAGCCATCCGAGGCCACAGAAGAAGGTACCTTGTAATCATAACGCCGTTTTCCCAGTGTGATAATGCAGCTACCGAGCACCCATCAAGGGTCTCGGGTTAGGTCATCATGATTCGCTCGCAACTCAAGACTGTCTCATAAGCCGAGACCATTGACAGCATCGAGGGCGCCCTCCACTGCTGTTTCCAATTCTTCCACTCTGACCTTCAGCCCCTTGTTCTCGTCCTTGAGTAGACTGACAGTATCCCAAGCCATACTGGCCGTTTGCCCTTGGCAGTTGAGGCATGTCGCAGGCGCAGGCGCAGGCTTAGGCTTCTCGCTCGAGATGCCCCGGATGAGTTTTTGAAACGCGCCCATTTGAGTATTGTTGGTGTTTCGTGCGGCAGCATTACCGGTGGCACGAGGAGGCTCCAGTGTGACGGGCTTAGGCTGAACAACAGGACTGATCTCAGACATGTTGGTACAGATTGTTGGGCTGCGGGATCGCGAGAAGACACTGGCCTCATCCACGCTCTCATCATCAGATGAGGTCGAGGTACTCTTTCGCCAGCGTTTGAGTCGATCCTCATCGACGCCCAGGTCTTCTGATACGATAGAAGCTGCTGAGGTACTATTCTCTTTCTCGCCATTAGTCGCCTCATCTGCGCGGTCCTTTTCATTTGCCAAGCGGTTGAGCAAGTATTCAATCATAGCGTCTCGCTCTGCCATGAGGGTAGCCTGTTCCTCGAGCTGCTTCTCGAGCTGTTGGATCCTGTTTTCAGATTCACTCTTGTCGAAATTTTGAATATCACGCTCGGCCTGGAGCTCCCTAAATTCTGTTGTGCGTTGCTCATAAGCAGCCTGGAACTTGCTCAGCAGACCAGTGGCGTTCATCTGCAGGTTCTTGAAAGCGGATGGCGAGAAAGCTGTGCCTTCGACAGGAAGACCGTTGGGGAAAAGCCCCTTTTCAATGTCGAGATTCATGAGGGCCTCATTTTGTTCTTCCGAGGGACATGCAGTAGGTGAAGCAGCAAGGGATCCGAAAAAGCTGAATCGAGAAGAAGTTGGTGTGGATGGCTTGGCCGAGGATGTACTGCGTCGTCGAGGTTCTGGGGCGGTTGTGGATAAAGGTGAAGGTGCATTAGATCGAGAGAACCAAGTTGAGAAGCCGTTTCGGGGAGCTTCCTCTACAACAGCAGGCAAGCTTGACCGAGGTTTGGAGGCAGCAGGCCTCTTGTCGCCGGTGAACGACATGTCAACAGAAAGCGGTCTAGGCTGGCCACTGGAGATCTTGTAGAGCTGCGATTCAACGTCCAAGTTGTTGTCGGTCAAGTTGATAGAGTGGCGCAGAGGTGACTGGAGTTTAGGAGAAGTAGGCTCTACATGAAGACCGGGATCTCGGGTTCGAACAGAGGAGCTGGGAGGGTGATGAGCTGTCGTGGGAGGTGTCACTGAGAGAGGAGCCAGAGGAGGAGTTGAACGGGGAGTCGACTGAGCAGCGCTGGGTGTCTTGAGAGCCGCGGGGGAAAGGCGGAGGGAGGTGGTTTCTGATAGATTGTTGTTTCTGGGTTTGTTTGTCACAGCAGCTCGCCTCCGGGCGGTCGAGGCGCGAACACTGGAGCCATACGACGCTTGAGAGCTCGGTCCCGTTAGACGCGAATGATATTCGATGGGAAACTGTCCAAGCTCCTCCTCGGCAGCTCGATCCTCAACGAGCCCCTGGGGATCCAGAGGCTGCATAATCGCCTAATGTTTCGGTTCCAAGGGGGTTTGGGAGATTTGACGGAACAGGGGTCCAGAGAAAGGAACCCAGTTTGAGAAGCACTAGAAGAACGCTAGTAGCGGCGATCGTATTGATACGTATTATGTAGGTGGATGGATAGCTGAGGTGCTTCAAATCGATTGTGTCGAGAGAGAGCGGTGGGAAGAGAGTTGGCGATGAGTGGACGGTGGTTTATGGCAGGCGAGGAGGAAGGCCATAGATGTTAACCTTGACACCACAGTTTGTTGCGCGTGGCCGGGTTCGGCTGAGGAGGAGCCGACTACCTTAGTATGCAGTGACCCTACAACTCGTCCACTCTATGGTTGGGGCAACTTGGGATATGCTCTAATGGTGGGTTTGTTTGGACAGAATTGAGTGGTTGAGGTCTCTGAGGGGTCCTTTAAGTTAGTGGCCAACAAACTTGTACCAATAGGGTAATCCTGCAGCGCCAAGTAGACACAGCTCCGAAAGACTATCAGGCCCATCTATAAAATATGACCGTATCTGCATTTCTGAGAAGGACGTTCCCATTGTCTTTGAAACCTTTTCCGGAATAAACACTGCAAAATGCCGTCTGGTAGTGTCTCACTACCAACAGTTGGCGAGCAAGCCAGCCGAGCTTGGTAACGCCCTAGCGTTGATCCCTGAATTCTGTGGAATGCAGAGACACGCCACTGTCTCCAGAGGCACTTTATTATTGTGGGCTTGACGTAGCTGGAGGTTGGAGACACCTAGTACATAGGTCCTTACGTTCCGTTGTTAGTAGAGTAGAGTCATGAATGACATATTCATGACAATGATTGATCAAGGGATCTTGACTCAATATTGGCCTTGTGTGGAAATCCCTCGTCATCGAGCCAAGTCCCTGAAACTGAGCCCATTATAATCAATCATGGTCACAAGATAAGGCACTGAAGGATCAATGCAACCAACCTTGCCCATATAAATCATGCAGTATCACTATCGCCTGCATAGATGATAGCACTACTGCACAAAGGAGCCCTTCCCGAACGGCTCCAACGTCCCCGCACGTCTTTGTCTCGCCCTGTCTCGCCCTCGAGTCCACTGCTTGGCCTGTCGTTCTAGTCTAGGCTGTCCTACACGGGAACCTGCAGAAATGCAAAAGCAAAGTTTCTACCTTAAATCTAGGTTCGTAGGGCCATCTCAAGCTTTTCCACGCATTTTCACCCACAAGCCCACAAGCCCGGTCAGACTTAGATCACTTCTTGGCGAGTCCAGGCCGTTCCCTACTCCGTCTCGTTCCTTAAATTCACCCTAGAACAGGAACAGACTTTCGCGCTGGCACGTTGATGAATTCGATTGCCACGATCTATAGCGCCTTGTGGCTGCACAAGACCAAGAACACCCCGGAAGAGATCTCATGGCAATGACTATCGTGTGTCACTTCCAGTACTTAAGGTACCCATGGTGGAAACTTGGATACACATTAGGTAAGTAGGTAGGTATGCTCTCTGATTGTTGTACTGGACATTATTTCATAGCACTCTTCGGAAGATGCCATGTTTGCTTGCTTAGACTGTGGTAACTAGGTATAGTACCTGGCTGCAGATACAGTAGGCAAGGCAAGGCGACATGGACGATAAACTATGGCGTCAAGTTGCCTATCATCTCAAAGTCGTGGAGTTTGAAGACACATCTAGGCCTAGGGCGATGGAGTAAAGTCTCCGGAATCTACTATCTAGGTACCTGATGTTTCGGCCGCTTTAGGATGAACGGTATTAGCGACCATCTACACCACACAAATTCCAGCTCTTTTAGCTGGATCATTTTGCCAAACAAAAGCCCCGCGTGCCGTTTATACAGACTATCGTCACAATCCTACCTACCGACCGACCTTGGTTAGGTCAGTACCTAGGCTGGCGAACGTTCTATAAGAACTTACCTATTAGCCGATCCAAACTACTTACGCAACGACCAAGAGTTGGTTCTTTGAACTTGTGCCTACAAAGTCTCAGCCTTTAATGTAACAATGGACTTACTCACTTGGAACTTTCATTGCCTAGGAACGGAAGAAAACTTAGGGTCTCGATCTCGTGATCCTAAATAACGAAAAGATTAGGGTAGCTTTGTATAAGTTTAGGATGCCCTTCAAAATAGCATATCTCGATCCCAAATGTAGGTAAACTTAGGTGAGACTTGACCAGCCTTTGGAATACTTGACTGTTTTTAATATAACTGAAGTTTTCCTGCTCCCTGAGGCCTGTCTACTGACTTGAAAGACTTCGTGGCTCCATGGTCACAAGAACTATCGTAGCCACTGAAAGGACATGGAAAGTATACTCGAATGAACTCTCTAACATCTACTGGTATAAAGATACTTGCAGCCTGCATTGACCATACGCCCAACCGAACTATAATAATGACAATGATAAACCAAACTCCTGTCCTTAAAACATCCACATAACCATCAACGGTTTCTCTTCTCAGTTGTTCGTTCAATGGCCGACCATTATGTCTGGCTAGTCAGGCGACTGTTGGGGCCAGTAGATGTATCCCAGTCCTTTGGTGTGTCCAGGGCTGCAGCCAGCAAAGTGATGAAGATGCCGAGCGCCCTGGGGATATGGTCAGTAATTGCAGGCCCCTACACTGCTATAATCACACTTACAGGTTAATATGTGCTATAACCACTGCTGTCTTGCCCAGGGGCCAATCAATCACGAAGGGCATGATAAAGTTGTAGCTATTGGCATAGGCGGAGTAGAAGACGACTAAGAATGCGGAGGTCGCCACGCCTATAATCCGGAAAACGTAGCGGGCAACGCGGTGATTGAAGTACCGAATCTTGGTGAAGAGTGAAAGAAGGGTGATGGAGGTAATGACCCATGTGACACCAGCGACAAGAGCAAGGACCAGGAATGGTCGTTCCGAATCGACACGATACATGTCTCGCAGAAAGTAGATGGGAATATCAACGTCTGCTATGGAAATCCATTGAGCGAGAGAGTGATTTTCAGAGAACATCGTGTCGAAGTAATCCGATTGTTCAGGCCAGTAGTTGCAAGCAGCGACCAGGTTCATAGTAAGTGTTTGAAAATTGGTGAGGGCGAAGAGGACTAGGAAGGCCTGAAGGATAGTGCCGCCAGCGCGGCCAGCGCCCTTGGGTTGATTCATCATTATGAAGAACAGAAAAGGTGTAGTGATGTCAGATAATGGCAGATCTTGATGAATACTTTGGGAACCAAGAAAGGGGTGACGAAGATGATGATGAGAAGAATGAAGAAAGGCTCGGAAAGGGTCGAGTAAATTGGTTTTAACCATCCTCCGATGCCCAGGCACCTTCCTTCATCTGATACGAACAAGGCGGCGATGGAGGCAGTTACAAATGACTTCAACCGGGGGGTTGGGGTTGGCAGAATGGAAGTTGACACTCCTGGATTAGGTTCCATTGTTACCTTATCTACCACTTCCTCAATATTCAAGATATCTGATTGAAGGGAGGCACCAGCTAAGACTGGGCTGCCCTCAACATCTAGGTGGTTGTTGCATTAATATCTGCATACGTGCTGAAGTTCTCTCCGATTGAATGCCCGTGACCTTTATTTCTCCCGACGAATCAAGGAATTCACCCCGGGCAGGGGGTCTCTATTCTTTTGGAGTTGATATCTTGCTATCTTCGACCACTTCACTACCTTGTGATCCTGCCTGCAAAACTTAGATTCAGGACACTGGAAGCGATCGCGATGAAGGTAGGTATACGAGGAGAAACTTTACCTTGTAGGTACCTAAGCAACAACCGCCTTTTGAAGGCAGCCGTATAGCAAATTGTTGGGTACTACGGCAGGCAGTTCCAATCACGTGTGAAAGGACTTATAGGCAAGTTCAACATCAGGGCAGTCTGTAGAGTGCTATGTAGAGCATGTAGATGCGACTCAGTAGGGTATGCTTGGGTAGGCCGATCAAGCAAAAAGTTCCCAGCACATAATGATCAGCCAGCACCTTCTAACGGGTATATTGCCATATTTCCTGACGAATGAAAGCCAAAGACCTGGATACGTTGCATCTCCGTCTATGCACGTTTTACAAACCATCTCAGCGCAACTCAACTGAAGGAAAGTAGCGAGGTCCTGCAAAACCTCGTGCCAAGACAGACTGTATATCAATATTACTCGTGGGGTCGTGATGGGAGCTCCACATCTTGAGGAGTATAAATCGACCTGATATGGGAGGGTCGAAGCGGATTGTGCATTTGCTCTTCTTCTTCTCTATGTTGAAACGAGCGTGTGGAGAGAGCAGTTGACCGCCGCCAACGGCTCGAACGGCGTCTTGCGTAGCAGAGGCGTGAGCTTCCCAAGCTTCTGTCAGGGAGAAAGATCGGTTGGAGTGATCGTAATCGCGGTCCCGTTCCCGCTCTCTTTCTCTATCCCTCTCTCTTTCACGGCGGCGCGAATATGGAGGATCAAACCCTGGGCCGCTAGTATTGGCAGCACTACTGTAGAGGCGCCAGTGGGAGGGATGGTGGTCGTCGAGGTATTCGGGATCAAAAGGGTTGCCGCCGTCATCGGAGTCAGAGTCGGGGGTTTCAAAGGGGAGGGAGCCGATGCGGTTCGGCGCACGGCGTAGGAAACGGGGGCCGTCAAAGCCGTCGTCTTCGTCGTCGCTGCATTCAGTAGTGACGTGAAAATCGGGCAAGTTGGAGGCGAACTCTTCAGGCATCTGTGGTGTCCGTGGTTCATAATCATCCGCGTTGGTACGGTAGGGGTATGCTGGCCGAGACCTCGTAGTCGTAGTGCCATTCTCGTGGTGCTGCACTGATATTATCTCAGTTGGGATGGGCTGAAGAACTCTCGAGTCCCCATCGTGGGTAGGTTCATGAGTTGGCTGTGCATATTGAATTTGGTACTGGGCTGTTCGGTTGAGCACTTCGTCTTGTTTCATTGCCACAAAGACCATTCCCTCTCTCACGCTGTTGCAGAATTAGCCATGTTGTCCGGATCATGCCGTAATGCATGGGACAACATACGGATGTGAATAGTTGGACGATGCAGGCGCCTTTATAACCAACTCCTGGAGAGTAAAAACGGTGCCACCCTGATGTCTCAATACTATGTTGCATCTGTTTCCCTTTGTACAATACACCGAGGTGTCGTTTTTGAGGATATTCTCAGCGGCGTATGATAACTCATTGGAGAACATGCCCCCATCACAGCTGACGATCTCCATCTTGAGGTCCCCTTGCTCGACCTGGCCATACTTGCCATAACGGAAGCCTCGTAAGGCCGGCGCGAGACGATCAGAATCCAGCTTCCGGCGCTTGTGCCGTCGATTCGAGTCAGGGAGATCTGAGGGACGGAGTGAAGGAGAGAAGTTGGGCGGCATGAGCGGAGGAGTAAGGCTTGGGTGGTGCTGGAGATCAAGAAGGGCCCGCAGGTGCGAGTTGGCTTCCTCGAGGTGTCGATCGAGGTCTTCGAGATTGGAGGGTCTGGTGTTCTCGGCGGTTGCGGCGGTTGCGGCGGAAGCCCGCATGCGGTCAGTACGTCGAGTAGTCGGCCAACCGTCGTCCATGGGCCGTTCGAAGTCGTCGAAACTGGAGCCGGGACCCGGCGCTCTGTTCTCCAGGTTCCGGATGCGGTCGGCGCGGCGTGAAGCGGCTGACCAGTGCCGGGACTGAGGGCGGTTGGAAGATGTCGGCGAGGGGCTGTCTCGGTCACGGTCTCGCTGGGCGTGGGCGAGGGCTCTCAGAGAAGGCAGTCGAGGCGGTATGGGAAGCGGTGGAAAGTCGTCGAGGGGTTCTCGAGAATGGCGACGGTGGGAGTTTGATCCCGACCGGCCAGACATTTTGTATGTATACGTATGTAGGTATGAATTAACGGCGGGACTGGGGGGTTTCACTAGTCGGTGGGCGGTTATGGATATGGATATGGCTCTGGCTCTGACTCTGACTCTGACTGTGGATGTGGATGTGGATGTGAGTTATGACGTGGGGTTGAACTGAAGCGAAGCGAAGAGGCTAGAGGGATGGCCGCTGATGGTCCCGTCTTTTGTCAGATGAAATGTGACCAAAATAGAAATGATGATGGTATGAAGAATGGTCGTTAATCGTTGTCGTCCAAGGGACAGCAGTTAAGCAGTATCGGCGCACGGTACACCTGTCTCTCCGGGAGCAAACTCGTTGGTCTCGCCGTGAGTTGAGTGAGAAGAACCCCCGAATCACAGCCTGATTTCGGTGTCTTCGCGATGGCGACAATCAATGGTTGAGCAGCCGGCTAGGGATTGGATACTGTGCGAATGACTCTGCCGTGGGTGGGTTTTATGTCAGTCAATCATTGGCCTTTGCTTTTCGCTGAGCCGCCCTACCTGTCACTTCATACTCATCCTAGACATAAGTAGGCGATACAGGTATTATGCGCCTTTTTTCTGTATTTTTCTCTCTACCTGCCTCGCAGTTTTTTCTGCTTCTGCCAAGGTTGTCTTCCAGCCAAAGGTCAGGCGTACTACGGCACATGAGCCGTGACTCTGAGTGATAAAAGTCGCCGTTCTTTGGCGGGGGCGAGCGGAGAGGCGGCGTAGTAGCAGAGACGCCAGTAGAGACAGATATTCGTTGATAGCTGAGCTTGGCGGTAGCGGTGAGATATCTGCAGCAAGTATTGAGTTAGGTACAGAAATACCTAAGGGAGAAAAGGAACAGATCGGTTGTAACTTGTGAGAGGTGACAGTTGTAGAGAAGTGACATACCTAGGTAGGTAGGTAGCCAGGGCTGGGCTGGGCTGGGCTGGGCTGGGTCGACTGACCTTGTGAGCCGAGCCGTCCATGATGGATGGTAACCTAAGGTATGGGGGATAATAATAAAGGCGGTAAAAGCCACATCAAGGGATAGTTAGGCCCCAGCTTTGAGTCCCAGCACTGTATCCGTTCGTCCAGAAGCTTGACTTGTTGAGCAAAGACCAGGTTCTTATGTGCACTGTAGTCAGTTTATAGTGAGGAACAGGAAACCCTGGTCTGGTGTTGCGACATGGCGGAACTCGTACCAATTATGTGTAACATTGTGCGAGTATCATGCTGTATTCAACTTTCGGGCAAATTGTGACTTGAAGCTTTAGTGTTTTCTAGGTTTGCTAACGATTAAAGGTCCTCTCAACCCTGGTGTTCAGTCACCTACCTTGGCTTATCTTATTATTATACATTCTTGGTTGTTCGTTCCATTGTGTGAAGCATGCACCTAGGAAGTCACATATTTCCCTCTATTGCCTAAGGACTTACTTACCTATGAATACTACAAAGTTTTTTTTTTTTTTTTTTTTTTGGTTCCTCTCAGTCTGCGAAGAAACAGAAGAGGAGATACCTGGATGCCTTGCCTCGTATCATCCCCCTGCAGCCTGTACGTGATATGCTTGCATCAAGTAGACTGGCAACCTTACCTCGTATGTAGTCTACTAGACACAAGTCATGTCCCTGCACCACCAACTTCTTGACCCAGTTAGCCTCGTTCTCTCTATAAGGAAGGTCATGATATATTCAAAACCGTATAACTAGTTGTTGTATTATGTTTGAAAATCATTTTTCTTAGTTTTATCTCTTTTGCTTCCTACTAAGTAAGCCTGGTCAGTACCTAAGTCTTCGCTGGTTGAGGGCCTCATGTTTCATTGATTGCACGTGATATTCAGGGACCTTTTGTGCCTGCGATCTAGGTAGTTCCTGCCTGTCGGGACGAAATGATGTGGTTCTGATTCAACAAATAGCTCCGAGCTACATTAACATTTGCGAAAACTCCAAAAGATTTATCTAAAATGAAATACGGAGTAGAGGAGTGGAGTATATCTCAGCTACAGGATACCTACTGAGGTACCTATTTACAGAAGCATACTCTGTGTTGTGTACTGTAAATTCAGGCATCTCTATCTGTATCTCCAAAATCTTGACGTTACCTGATTCTTGGGTCATCCATCGCCTTACAGCAGCTCCCTTGAATTTCCCCAAAGTGGTACCTACAGTACAGAACGTGCCTAGGTACCTACCTAAGGTAGGTAAGGTTAGTACCCATGTCGATCCCACTAACAATTTCATACGGCCAATCATTGCAAAGCTACCTACTAACTTAGTTCAGCTCACTCACTCAACTTCCAGGTTCATAACCTCCTTGACGTGAGAAGCCAACGTTCGACCACTCAAGTTGTGAT